GGCACAAAACGCATGATCGCACCGGCTAGTCTGGTGCGCGTTGCTGTTTATTCATTTATGAATCCACAAAATTATCGAAAGTACTTCCCCTGAAAGATCCTCTGTGCTGCTGTCAGTGATATAATTTCCTTAATATTTTCTTTATTTCAGGATTTTGGGGTTCTTGGTGATTTAGCGGCTGAGCTAAAAAAGGATCTGGAGAAACGTACTGCATCTGTGCTAGATACAAATGATCCGAATTTTGATGGAATCTTCATTCAAGCAACGGCCCTGAATCCGCATCTCGCTCTGCTGCTGGGTGATGAGCAATTGATTTACGCCAGAAACGCTATAGAAAAACAGGTATTCTTCAAAAGGTCCCATGGCGAATTGATACCTGAAGAAAAATTCTTGTTTGGGATTCGGATTATTCTCAACTTTTTTCCCTGAAAATACTCCTGGAAAAAAAACCGGTCCAGGTCCATCTCATCTGGCGCTAAGAATACCACTGCACGACCCAAAGACGATTGAGCTCCCATCTTTTGCGATGCAATGTAAAAATGTTCGGATATCTAAAAAAAGCCAGCAGAATTTACGTAATAGTCTCAGATACTATAATTGTTTATGTTTCGGTTACATACATACAGATATTCTATATTTGGAGCATCGGAATTATTAGTGTAATAAAGAGCGACGATTCGGAGGACCCATTATCTCCGACTTGTATCTTTTATAAAAAGAGCTCCACTAGCAACAAGAGTTCTGATTTCATAATCAAAGGAGACACTTGCAGTGCTGGATTTATGCCTAATATTTGCTGAATGTCTATCGAAAAGTGGTCGTTCTATGAAGTGATTTGTTTCCGAAAATTTTTTTCTGTGAATATCTGGTTTGGTCCCAGGCGACTTTCCCTAGAGAACAATTTTATATTAGGATCAGTTATTCTGCTGAAGAAAAGTACGTAACTGAAGAAAAGTTGGAAGAGACTACTGGTATGTTCACAGGGCTGTTTACAGGAATTTAGAAACCTCGGTTATTATTGCTTGGGGACACATTTCATGTTTAATCATAGGCAAAAAATATCTGTTTGATTCTTGATGCCACGATTATCCATCCACAAAATTTGTTCCTTAGAAGATGGTCTCTATCAAAATTCCAAGTCAAAATCCTCTCCACGTTTGTTATGTATGAGAGGCAGAGGCTTGAAGAAAGTAAGATCGCAAATGTTGGTAGTGGCGAACCGTTGGCAAGGCTGTCGGTTTCAGAAATCGTTTACAAATGGGCTGATGGAATGTTTAACTCCATAATATGTGTGAGCACCAATTAACAATTGAAGCGCGTGAAGAGCCGTGGACGAATTAATTATCCTGTCGATGGAGTCTAACCATCAAATTATTGCATGACACTGGAGTTACTTCCCAGTGCGTTGTGCCCATCGGTCTAGCAAAAAATGTCGCCATAATCTACAGAAAAGTGAATATCACTTAAACAGATCACTTTCTTTCATTTAACACCACTCTTTTAATTTCTCTGAAATTAATGTCTATTATTTTGCGGCAGCGCAACACCCAACAGCTTAAGACATTAACATAAATCAGTTTACAGTCGTTTTTTCAGCCGAATTTTCATACCGTCCTAAAACTTCTAGAGTCAATTACTAGCAGATGAAGCTTGCGTCCTCTTTTGCGTCTCGATGTGCTAAGACCCTGTGAAACAATGCCACTTTATCAGGGAATTTCCATGTTGCAGTTGAACGAACGTATGCGAGCGGCGGAAGAAGTAGTGGCACGTCGAGCCGCTCGTTTAAATGGTGGAGTTGATGCGCTTCTAGCAACCGTGGTGGATCGTGCCGCGGCTTCATCGGGGGCTAGCAGCAGCAGTAGCAGCGACAGCAACTGTGGCAATGAAGTAACGGCTTGCCAAAATATTGCCCCGAGTACCTCACTCTATCCAGATCTTGTCCACGCTGCTAACGAGCGACGAAAAATCATGAAGGTTGTGTGTTTCTCCCAAAATTTTTTACATCTAAGTGCGAACTGAATACAGCAGTATAAAACGATCGGTTTTTAGATTCTCTTTCTAGAACAGGGCTATTCTAAGACCAATGAAATCAGAAAACTAATGGAACTGTAAATGGAACAATTTGCCAAAGTGTGACCGAATTTCTTAATCTGCTAATATAATTGCAGGAGCGACAACAAGCAGCTGTAAAAAATCGCTACGCAGAGGCGATCGTACAGTCTTATTTCGATGAACTCGCTGTAAGTTTCATTTTCATTTTTCCCCGAAAATTGAAACATCGCTCTCACGGAGATGAAATAATCAACTGTGTCTACATTTAGAATACTTGGATCAGCTGTAGTTCTAGTTTGGTTCCGAAGTTATCTAGCTAGCAAATTTCTC